CGGACGCTTAACCGACTGCGCCACCCAGGCGCCCCTATTTTCCAATATTTTAACACAAGGTGGTTTTTCTTGATTCTACTAATTAGACGTCATATTTGTGTATTTGATGGCTTGTAGAGTTTATGCTGTGTGCATGTGCCCTTGTACAACAGGACTCGCTCCAAGAAAAAGCAAGCTCTTTCTTGCTAAAAGAACTTCCTTTACTACATCATTTCACGGGGGCTATTTTTCCCTGAAAAATCTCTATGTCCTCTCTCCTGGAAGAGAGTGTTCTGGGTTTATAACTATAGTTTGGCAAACTTTGAAAATAGCCCACTGTTTTTTGGTGTCCATCGTTGCTGTTGAGATGTTTGTCATCAGTACTTTGTCATTTCTTTTTTTTCTTTTCTTCTTTTTTTTTTTTTAGGCTTATTTTTGAGAAAGCATGAGCAGGGGAGGGGCAGAGAGAGGGGGAGACACAGAATCAGGCTCCAGACCCTGAGCTGTCAGCACAGAGCCCGACGTGGGGCTTGAACTCACAGACCGTGAGATCATGACCTGAGCCGAAGTCGGACACTCAACCGACAGAGCCACCGGGCGCCCCTATGCTTGGTCATTTCCGTATACCTTGTCTGTATATTTTCTCTTAACTTTCCATTCATTTGCTTCTTTCTTCATATTTACTTCAGTTGTGTTTGTTTATTTTGTTTTTTATTCATCACACAGACGTATGTTTGTTATCACTACAAGGTAACCACTCGCTTTATTGCTTTTTTTCTTCTTTTCTGGGGTAAAATATACAAAACATTGATCATTTTAACCATTCTTAAGTGTACACTTAGTAACATTAAGGACTCATAGTGTTGTGTAACCCTCACCACTATCTAGCTCCAGAAATTTTTCATCATCCTAAAGAAAGGCTTTGTACCCATTAAACATTCTCCATCCCCCTCCCCCAGCCCCTGGGACCCACCATTCTAGTTTCTTTCTCTATGAGTTGGATTTTTCTGAATACCTGATATATGCAGAATCGTACATTATTTGTCCTTTTGTGTCTGGGTGATTTCACGGAGCAGAATGTCTTCAGGGTTCATCCACATTGTAGCGTGTTGGGCTTTCCTTCCTTCTTAAAGCTGAATAAATTCCAGCGTGTGTGCGTGTGTGTGCACGCGCATGTGCGCGTGTGTGTATGTGTGTGTGCGTGTGCGCGTGCGCCCACTCACCTGGACGCTTGGGTCCCTTCCACCTTCTGGCTGTTGTGAGTAATGCCAGTGCGCACCTTTCTGTCCCAAGTATCTGTTCAAGTTTCCGCTTCCACTTCCTGTGTGACTGTGCCTAGAAGCGGGATGGCTGGATCATATGATGATTCTACGTGTAACTTTTTGAGACGCTGCCATACTGTTTTCCATGGTGAATATACCATTTTATTACAACCAGCCACGCATGAGGGCTCCAACCTCTCTACATCCTCACTAACACTTATTTCCCCTAATGGGTGTGAAGTCGTATCTCGTCGTTTGCATTTGCATTTCTCTAACGATTAAAGATGTTGAGTGTCTTCTCATGTGCTTGTTGGCCATCTGCACGTCTTCTTTGGAGGAATGTCTATTTAAGCCCCTGGGCCACTTTTAATTGGGTTATTTGCTTTTTTGTTGCTGACTTGTAGGAGTTCTTTATACATTCTGGATATTAATCCCAGAGCCGATACATGATTTGCAAATATCTTCACTCACTCTTCACTTTCTCGATAGTGTCCTATGATGTACAAGTGTTAAATTTCCATGAAGTCCAATTTTTCTGTTTTTAATTTTGTTGGCCTTGCTTTTGGTGCCATATCCAAGAAATCGTTGCCAAATACAATGCCATGGCATTTCCCACACCACGTTTTCTTTTAAGATTTTTAGTTTTTAGTTTTCTTTTAGTTTTAGGGACACCTGCATGACTCAGTCGGTTAAGCATCCAACTCTTGGTTTCAGCTCAGGTCATGATCTCATGGTTTGTGAGTTCGACCCCCATATCGGGCTCCGCAGCTGGCACCGTGGAGCCTGCTTGGGATTCTCTCCCTCTCTCCACACCCCCTCTCGATCCCTCCCCTGCTCATGCTGTCTCTCTCTCTCTCTCTCAAAATAAACAAATGAACTTAAAAAAAAGAGATTTTTATAGTTTTAACTCTTACATTTTTGTGTTGGCCCCTTGCACACTTCAGAGATCACTAGGGATTGTTTAGAATGTGCCAAACCCATCAATATCGCCGTGTTTGACGTCTCTGTGCATTGCTGCTGTCACCTCATTGATGGGTGCCCTGCCCCCCTGTGGCATGTGAGAGCTTTCCTTGGGTCCTCAGTCCTTTTCATGTGGCACCTGTGGACTTTGATGACTTCTTTGCTTTCTGACATGGCGAGATGTGCCCGCCTCACTGTGTGCATTTTCTGCCTCAGACCTGGAGTCAGCTAGTTCTCCAAAAAAAGCCCGATTCCCTTTCCACCTGTTTGGAAACCAGTCTGGGCAAGGCTGCTCCTGGCTACATGGTTGTTCTCATTTGGAGGCCTTTGTGGTAGACAGAGTGATGAAATGCTTTTCAATGTGTGTGCACACACAGGCACGCACGTGCACACGCACGTGTGAAATTCGTACCGAAGCTCCCGTCAGGCCTGAAGCCGTGGTGCCACCTCCCTGGTTCCCATGCTCACCCTTCCTTCTCCCACCCGGACCCAGCTCAGCACCAGCGTCGGCCATCTGTCTTTGGCACAGTTGGCAGCGAGTGTTTCGAGGGACGCCGCCAGAGTCAGCACCAGCGACAGGACCGCTGCCCGGCTTCTTCGCCCTGGCCGCTAGCGCGGCAGCCTGGAGCTGCGCGGTCAGTTCGCCGCGCTTTCAGGGTGCTTGGAAGACTTCTTTCTCTGCAGTTCATTGGTCTCGTCATCTTTGGATTTTTAGAGATTGCTTTTTTGATTTCAAATTTTGTTTGCAATTATGTAAAACGTCTGCATGATTTTAAGACCCGATCTGCACAATGAGGCAGCGGCCCAGGACTCTGCTGGCCGCACAGGCCCCAGGCGGGCAGCCTGGGGGCCGGGGTGGGGGGTGGGGGTGTGGGTGAGCGGTGGTGGCAGCAGAGGCCGGACAGGGCAGAGGCGGGGGCAGAAGTAGCCCTTGTCCTGGAACCAGCCTGCCCCTCACCTGTCCCTCTGCCTCCCCACAGGTTGCCAGGCAGGAGGGAAGGATCATCTTGACGTCGGGGCTGCCATACCACAAGGTGGGGTCCCTGAAGATGGCTCATCTTTCCAAGGGAGCCTCAGCCTGGCCCTTGGGCCACCGCCCTCGGGGTCTGCTCGCTGCGGGGGGCTAGTGGGAGTGGGGGCTGACGGCTGTCCCACTTGGGGGGACGAGCTGGGGGGGAGGAGCCCTTGGCCCCGGAGCCCAGGGAGGGGAGGTGGGCCTGGAGAGGCTCTGGGTCCTGTGCCCACGGCTCAGCGGCTGTGCTTCCGTGCAGCTCCGGGCCCAGGTCGGGGCTGGGCGCTGCCTCTGGGTGGACTGCTCCCTCAAGGCCCGTCAGCAGGCCAAGGCCGTGCTCAGGCATTTCAACGTTCGAGTCACCCACGCAGACATCTTCAGCCGCTGCCAGGTGAGTCCCACCTGCCCCCGGCCTGCCTTGGGCCAGTGTGTGAGCCCCAGGGCTGTCAGGAAGCCACTGCTGTGACAGGAGACCCAGCGTGTCTCTGGCTGGTGGCAAGACAACAGAGGTCACGTGCTTTAGCGTTTGTGCCTTCCAAGCGGCCGCCGCCGCCCCATCTGGGGCAGATGGGCGCCACTGGGTCCATTCTAACGTCTAGAAAGGTCTGGGTCGGGAAAGCCATGTCTAGGGTTAAGGTCAGAGAGGGGTCTGAGGCCTGGGTCCTGTCTGCCGATTCGGACCAGGGAGGGGGCGCCCTCCTCTCCCTTCTCTGCCGGCCTGGGTGCACCGAGTCCTAGCCCCCATATCTGGCTTAGGGGGAGGTGGTGCAGGCCGGGGCGTGGCTGCACTGAGGCACGGGGTCCCCACAGGGCACAGTCCTAGTGCACCTCAGTGGCTCCTGGTGCAGAGTGCTGGCTATTCCCGGAATATTTGGAGTTGGGGCCATGATGAAGCTCTGTGAGGAGCACCTCTCCAAGCCCAGTTGTTTGGTGGACACTGGGCCTCACCTCTGCAGCGCAGGGGGGTAGGGGTTAGGGTCTCCGGCCAGGCTCATGGGACATCATCCCACCTTGGTGTGCCTGCGTCTGGAGATGGGGCACCCTGAGGGCAGGCATGCAGCCGGGTGTGAGGGAGACAGGAGGGAGGGAGGCCCTTCCTCAGGTCCTGGACCCTCCTCTACCCAGCTTCAGGTCCAGCCTGTGCCGACCCCGGGTCCCCGGCCCTGCCAGAAACGACTGCGGTCATCCCAGTGGCGGGAAGTGCACCGCGGGGCCTTTTCCTTCAGCGAGCTCTGGCAGGACAGGAACCTCGTCTGCGGCCTCTCTTTGTCTGTGCTCAAGCCGACAAGTGTTGTAAAGACCCCAGGACGTCCGGGATGCCTGGGAGGCATTTTAATGAGCTTTTCAGAGCCTCTGCTGCTAAGTTTTCTTGAGAAAACAGGAAGTTGGGTAGCTGGGAGGAAACCCCCACCCGTGCCCCGGGAAGCCTCATGCTGGGGAGCAGGCTGACCTCCTTCAGGCCTGCGAGGGCACCGAGGGCAGCCGCACACGGAAGAGTGTCCACGGCCCCACCTGCCCCTCCGCCCTGGGCAGTTGTAGAGCCCCCCTGCCCTGCCAGGTGCGAGGGGCAGGATGCAGAATGTGCCCCAGGGAGGCGGGGTGGGTGCGGTATGGAGCCAGTTCAAAGGCTGGGAGGCAGAGTTGCACCAGCCCTGATAGCGGACCAGCAAGTGCCCTGGCCGGAGAGGGCAGCTCTCCAGCACCCCAGGACAGAAGACAACCCACCGGGGGGACACCGTCCGGGGGCACAGAGGTGCTAAGACCTATTCTGGCTGCAGCAGGTAGCAGGGGGGAGGGAGTCCAGGTGAGAGGTGGCATCTGTGGCAGGTGAGGAGTGGGCTCGGGTTTCGGGCTTCGCCCCTGGCCAGCAGGGAGGGAAGGTGCCGGGTCTGGGCTCCCTGGGGTCTTGGTCTGGAGGCCCACGCATCAGGCCCTCTAGGTTGGGGACGGGCACGGGGAAGGGGAAGCCTCGGCTCGGGAGCTCTGCCCAGCACTGTCCTTATTTGAGGTATATACGCATTCCGCCAAGACTAGCTGGGGAGGAGGACAGACAGGGTCCACGACTTGGTGCCATGTGACTGCACTGGCCGAGAAGCAGAGGGCAGCCACCCCGGGCTCGAGGGGGGGGAGCGGGAGGGGGCGTCCCAGGCAGAGACCCCTGTGTGTGGCTGCCAGGCAGCAGGCAGGAGCACAGGTGTAAGGCTGCACGTGGACGCCTGATGGGCCTTTGTCAAGGAAGGGCCCGGAGAGCTTCTGGTTCCAAGGCTGGCCAGTGGCCTCCAGCTGAGCTCAGCTCCAAAAGAAAGTGTGCTGGGTGTGCCCCAGGGCAGGACCCTCCCTGGGTGGCAGATAACTGTGTGGGAGGGTCCAGGAATGTGCACAAGGAGCCTGAAAGGCCAACTTTATGGAGCCAAGTGGGCAGAGAAAGGGGTTTCTGAGAAGCCAGGATTTCTAAATTTGGAACTGGCCGTGGTCACCACAGAGACATCTGGGGAAGCGGTGGGAGGACTAAGCTTACTCTGTGTCAGGGAGCTGGTAGTATTAATGCTTGGGCCTGAGGCCGGGGTCCCCACGCATGTTCTCAGACCAAATACCCGGTCATTGTGAGCACAGGTCTGGGCAGGCCTCCGGCCACATTCCCACCCAGAGCTCCTGGAGCCCCTCCGCCACGGCATTCCCAGCTGAACCCCAGGAGCTCAGCCTGAGAAACAGCCAGGAACGCCCAACCACCCCATCCTGCACACTGGCCACCCCTACTGCCCCCCCGGTGCCCCGCTGTTCTCAGGGCCAGGCAAGGCAGATGGGTGGCAAGCACCGAGAAGCCCCGAAGAGGTGCCCCACAGACGTTCCCAGGCGATGGCCCAAAGCTCAGCGGAGCCACTAGGCTGGCTCCACGTGGCCCCATGGGCTAGACTGGCTTTCGAGCCGGTCTGCACATGAGAAAGTGCCGGCCGCTGACCAGCAGGGAGCGTCACACTCAGGACTGACCCAGGGAGGGCCTCTGTCCTCAGGGCCCCGCCCTGTGCTCCAGTGGGGCCTGCGCACCCTGGACGCTGGCTCGGAGCCCCTGCCGCCCGGCCCGGGCTGGAGCTGGCCGTCTCCCTGGAGACCTCCCACTGCCAGGCTGACTTTCCATTTTCTTTTCCTTCCTTATGCTATTTTAGTGCCATTCCCGGAGGGAAAACCCACTTGACACACAGGCATTCCCAGAGTGAGCCTGGCCACTCTCTGGGCTGGTGCATCAGGGTCCAAGGCAGGAAGCAAGTCAGAATGGGAGAGGGCTGGTCCAGGCCTGGGCTAGGTGCCCGGCCAGGGGTCCATGGCCGTGCCCCACTCTAGTGCCCAGCACCTGCCTCCAAGCTGTGTTGACACTCGGCATGTGCCTTGGGCACAGGGTCCACTTTCTGGGGCATCTGCACATGAGGACAGGGAGCCACGTGGTGGAGGCCAGAGGTGGGCAGGGAGGCTCGGGTGAGGGGGTGGTGGGTCTCCTGTGGCGGGCAGGGTCATGGACCCATGAAAGTGGCCACCTGGGCCTGGGATCGTCCGTCAGGAACATCCGCCAAATGGATGTTCCCAGTGCCGTCCGCTATGGGAAAATATTTTATCAAAGAGATTGGAGTTAAAAAAAAAAAAAAAA